AGATAGATAGATAGATAGATAGATAGATAGATAGATAGATAGATAGATAGATAGATAGATAGATAGATCATATTTAATACACAAGTTTAAAATGGATACAATATATATAGGATCTATGCCTTTTTACATTCCAGTTGGAATAGAAAAGCTTAGGGACAGGGAATCATTATCTTTAAGAGAAAAACAGATTGCTACAGACACATTTTGCTTGGATTGTGTGCTGCTTTGGGGAAATTACCTTGTGCAATTAATACCCATACACAAAAATGAATGACAGGAAAGTAACACAGGCTGGGGAGGGGTGGGAACCACTGGGTAGGTAGGGGGAGGATCAGCAGAGGAGGTCCAGTGGAGTGGAAGTTCTTTATGTGCTTCTATGAAATAGAACAATGAAAACTATTGTTCTGAGAAAAAAGGGGAGGGAGGGGGAAAAGCTGGGGAGGGGGAGGAAGGTGGAAGGAGGGAGGGAGATGGGTTTATTGGGGTACACAGTATGCCTAGATGGAAATATCACAACTTCCCTTGAACAATACACATGTGATCATAAAAATGCAAGAATAAAAAACATGCAAGAATAATGCAGCTGAAAAGAGAGACAGTACGTAAGAAATGGGCAGCTTACACAGAAAAACATGCATTTCCAGCTCCTCCAGCAAACAGAGTCAAGATAACTGACAAAAATGAGCCAATTTCACTGGCAAGAGTTGGTATAGATAGTAGTGGGTGCCTCCTTAGCACCGCCCACTTCCCAAGGAGCAGTCCATCCCAAACAAGGGCCATCACCATGGCAACAGAGCGCCATGCTGGCTCCCTGTCTGCGTGTTGCATCCATCCCTACGTTTCAACAGTGACGTGTTGGCAAATGTTTAACCAACAGGTCTCCAAAGGAGAAAACAGTCTAATTCATAGCAGCTGCTGATTATAAACACTTTTCACCAGGGCCAGTTCAAACTGCCAGCGCGACTGGACTGAATGCAGGACCGGAAAGCAAGGAGGCAATTCCACTGCCAGCTTCCCTGTTCATTTCACTGTTCACTTGTTCCTCCTGCTGGAAGTTGAAGCCAGGTCCCTGCACACGCCAGGCAAGTGCCCCAGCACAGAGCGACATTCTAGTTCACTGTTATTTTTTTCCTTTTTTTTTTTTTATTTCCAGAAGTACAGGGCTTTCTGCCGAGTCGGGCCTAGACTTTGGGCCAAACTTTAATGCTCCCCGGGTAGCTGAAATGACGGGTAGACACCACCATGTCCAGCTTCTTATTGGTTGAGATTGGATCTCACAAACGTTTACGTAACCCCAACTGGCCTCCAATCATGATCCTCCCAATTTCTGCCTCCTGAGTAGTGAGGATGATTTTAAGTGTGAGCTGCCACACCTGATTTTATTTTCTTAATGTAGACCATTTCACTCAGCTACCTTAACATGTCTGCTTGACCTCAGTAGGCACCTATGTTTGTTTTTACTTTTGCCCAGGAACAATAATATCAAAGTGTTGGTAGGAATAGAATCCTGGTCTGGCTAAACTTCTGTCTTATAGCCCATCTCGGTTGCAAGCATACAGGGTGAGCCTTCCACACCCCAGCTTTGATGATCGATGATCTGAGCACAGTTTGTACTAAAAGGATGAGACAAGCATTGGCGCATTTGCTGATACTTACTTCAGGGTCAGCAACTTCACCAGTATTCGGTTGCCTAGATGTTCCTTTGGACATTCTGGTACTGGACGGATTTCCACAGCATCCTCCTGCCGTGAATCACAATGGAAAGAAATCATTTAGTGGCTTTCCATGAAGATTTCCAGAGGGAGCAAGCCCTCCTCAGCTAAGTCAACATGATTTTGCCTTGTTTTTTTTATTTATTTATTATTTCTTCTTTTGTGATGGTCCTGGGTCTTGAACTCAGGGTCTGGGCACTGTCCCTTAGCCTTTTTGCTCAAGGCTAATACTACTACTTGAGTCACAGATCTACTTCCTGGTGGTTAATTAGGAGAGCAGAGTCCCATGGGCTTTCCTTCCCTGTGTGGCTTTGAACCCATGCTGGTCAGATCTCAGCTTCCTGAGTAGCTAAGATTACGGCCCAGCCAGTGGTGCCTGACTTTGCTTTATGCCTAACGGCGGACATCATATTACATTTTTACAAGCGAGTTTGTCATCCAGCCCCCTAACCTTCATTCCTAGCAAATGTTTTGTCCTTTCGGAAACCCAAGCTTTTAAGACAAAGAGACTGAGAGAGGAAGGAAGGAAATGCAAACGGGGATGTGAGGCACACACATGGGCCCATTGTTGGCTTCCTCCCCCCTCTCCTCTTTGCTTGATCTAAATACACATTCAAAGCATATCTGCTGCCAGGGGTTTTAACTAGTTTATACATAGGTTTCACATCTGAGTCAGGATAGTTGCCTTTTTTTCCCCCTGGTCCCAGGGCTTAAACTCTGGGCCTGGGCACTGTCCCTGAGCTCTTTTGCTTAAGGTTAGAGCTCTACCACTTGAGCCACAGTGCCATTTTTAGACTTTTTCTGAGTCATTTATTGAAGGTAAGAGTCTCATAAACTTTCTTGCCCAGGCTGGCTTCAAACCACAATCCTCAGATCTCAGCCTCCTGAGTAGCTAGGATTACAGGCGTGAGCCACCGGTGCCCAGCTAGGATCGTTTTCTTAAGGCAGTTAAGTTACCATCAGTCCTATAATGCAGCCTCTTATCCCTTAAACAGATGACAGAGCCTGGAGTTGAATTTAGAGTTTATTTACAGACACATCCAGCTAAAGTGCTATGTTTAAAAAGCTTAGGAATGATACGTTAACTGTGATGCCTGCCTTTACCAAAGACAACGACTTTAAGAGGACTAGGGAAGTCCCTACTTCAACTTTACACTTAAATCTGCACTAACATTCTACTTTAATGATAACTATATATGCAGAGAGAATCAGGGCAAATCCTTGAAAACCTTCAATCTACTCTCTTGCAGCAAGCTACCTACACCTTGGAATGTGGCCTGCCATACACAGGGTCCAAAGAACTGGGTCATAGACCCCTTTTTTTGAGTAATAACTGGCAAGAGCTTGTCATCAAATACTCCTCAGCAGCCTTTTACTACTACTACTGCTACTATTACTACTGCTACTACTATTATTGGTAGAAGGATTGAGCTCAGGGCTCTATGTTTGCTCAGCAGATGCTCTACCACTTGAGCCATGTCTCTCTTCCCTTTTTCCACTGGCTGTTTTTGAGATGGGGTCTCACTTGATGCAGCTTGAGCTGCAATCCTCCTCCTTGTGCTGCACATGCTTCCGGGGATGACAGAAGTGTGTCACAATGCCCAGGCATTTGTTAAGATGGAGTCTTATGAAGCTGGTCCCCCCCCCCCCAACACACACATAAGCTGACATCTAAATTTGATCCTCCTTTTTTTGTCTCCAAAGTAGCTAAACGTGTTTACAAATAGCAGGGAAGTCATCTTCCTGGGAGACTGGTGAAAGTGATCAATTTATCGGCAACTCAACCTTCCCTCCCCTCACCTCCATGGCTCGTAGTCACAGGGCCTGTCTTGCTCGGGGAAGACCTGTGTTCCTTTCAGAGGAGGTGCTGTTCGGATTATAGACATACGCTACCATACAATCCTGAGCAGGACTCTCCAGGTGAGCTAGAACCTTTAGGATCATCAGAACAAGATGATCTGTGGTCTTCCATTTATAAAGACTTTTGGTCTTAAACAACTCTTGAAGTCTCGCTTAAAAAGGCTTTTTGTCTGGAAAAATTCTCACATGATGCACAAGTGGAAACTAACACAACTGAGTCACCATTTATTCTCACCTGCAACAACTTTAACTCCTAGACACCTGGCTTCATTGATTTTATTTGCAACCTAGACTCTCTATTCAGTAAAGTTACCATGCATTAAGTATTTCACTCCATCTCTGTAAAAGAGAATCATTGTTAAAAAAAGATGCCATAATTACTTCTAAAATTTAACTCCCAAAGTTTAACTTCTAATTGGCACTAGATAGATCATCTCATTTCGCTACAAGGTTCACCTATGACATGTAAATTATGCATTCTTCCTTTTTTTAAAACCAGTACTGAGGGCTCTACTTCCTTATCTAGCACTCTACCACTAGAGCCATAACTCCAGTCCAGCTTTTTGCTGATTATTTTGGAGCTAAAACACCATTTGCTAGAGGTCAGCTTCCTAAGCAGCTGACCTGCTTAGTGTCCAGCTAAACATCTTTCTTAAGATTCTGTGCGTGTCTTTATTGATGTGTCACACTCACGTGCAATAAAAGCTAATTCCTAAAGAAGCAGAGGAGGACCTGGAAAACTGTCATGGATTTAGGAAAATAATTAAGCAAATATATGTACATATGCATATATGTACACATATACACACATATATACATGTACACATACACCTATATGTGGATATATCTATATGTATATACCTGTATATCTGTATACATGTAGATATCTATGGATATACATATGGATATATCCACATGTATATGTATAAAGGAAAACGAGGAGGAATGAAGTGAGAGAGGGAGGAGAAAGATGATACTCCTCCATCTACTGACACAATGGATCTTGACGCCAACTCCAGATTTCTCCAGCTGTGATTCTGTTATATGAACCAGTAAATATTCTGTGCCCTTGTTTTCTTTATGTGGTCCAAGCCGGCCTTGAACTTGTGATTGTCCAGCCTCTATCCCCTGAGTTCTGGGAGTCAGACACATGCCATCATTCTTGGCTCTTCATTTTTAAAAAATCTACTCATGTATTCATCAGTCACTGAGCAGGTCACCGACTGTCCTGGTTATGTAGGCCAGGCTGCTCTGCCTCTCAGAAGGTTGGGCAGCGGTGTGCCTTCACAGCCTACCTTGTGATCCGTGTTCTTACACAGGCTCCTGGCTTCACTCCTGCTGGGAAGGAAGTCCAGGATGTAAGGCCTACCCGAGGAATAAACAAGTGGGTCGTTGAGTGGGTCACTGTGTTATCTGCTTTGCTGAGTAGAATCAATCAGAAAGTAGAATGGCAATGACCACTCTTGCGTAGTGGTTTTGCTCAGAATTAATGCTCTACCACATGAGCTGCACCTCCACTCATTGGTTGGTTAATTAGAGATGAGAATCGCTCAGATTTATCTGCTTAGGGAGGTTGAATTTGTGATCCTCTTGCCTGATTACTGGGATCACAGGCACAGGTCACCATGTCTGGCTGCCTAATTTCTTTTTAGCTGGATGCTGTCACATGTCACTAAAACAATCCTTGGCAAACTCTGCTGACCATGTGTAGGACGGCAGCCTCTTTCTTAGGGAGGAGCGTATGCCTTTCACAGAATTAGCAGAATCAGGGGGAGGAAGCTGGAAAAGCCTAGTGGGTCATTCCTCGCCTAGTATAGACTCACTTATAATTTAGTACTTTAACTCTTCTAACTTTCCTTACAGGGAAATAAAATAACGGTAATATAAAATAAACGCATGCAGGTGTCATTTTTTTTAAAAAATGCCTTCAGAGCTTATAGAGCTGCATCTCTTTACCAGAGGAGTTTCTTTGGGGAAAAGTACAAATTACAAGTACAATTGTAATTTCTATGAGAACAGCTTCCACGACGACAAGATCTGGGTAGAGGCCAATTTACAAGTCACCCTACACTAATAGTTACAAAGCATTCTTCTCCACCCCAGAAAGCAGGCCCAGTAATGGACTTCTGCCCCATTAAAACTTTCAGCTTTGTGAGAGTCCCCGCATTGTCTCACAGACAATAAAACTAAGTTCCTCCCAAAGCAATGCATGGGTTATTCTTTCCATCAATTCAGACTAGACGTCGTCCTGTTTATTGCAGTAGGGAGATATGCATGAGCTAATGTCTTCCTTTCTTCAACCTTGAACTTTCATCTTTTCTGATGTCACTTGAACTAAAGTCATTTATGGCATTAATACCTTCGTCGTTTAAATGGCAGGGAAGGAAGGGAAGATCAAGTCAGCCAGCTCTAATATTTCCTCAGAAATCTGGTAACAAGTTGGAAGACTATGCATGGATAAATGAAAAGAAAGAAATTGCAAAGATGTGATTTTTTTTTCAAGTATCCCCTTCGTATTTCAGATAAGTGTGATCATGTACTACATAGGCCCTGGAAGCATATAAATAAGCAGACAGAAAAGCCGAAATTCATGTGTGAGGGTTCACTGTTGAATGATTTACTTGTTGAATCTTGAACAAATTATCTAATCTCTCTGATTAGTACTTTCCAATTCAAAAGGTAGACATGATAATATTGCTCATGTTATTCCTATCAATGTACTTCCTGTTGACAACAGTTGTGTATACTTACGGGGCATAATGTGATGTTTGGATTTGTGTGAACAGTGTATGAATATGAAGTCAAGCTGATTACACATCTATTACCTTATTCTTTTTGGTGGGGGGTGGGGCAGGGGAGGAGATGTTAACATCTATTCTTTTAACAATTTAAAAGCACAGTACATTAAATGTGGTCATCACACAGAGACGTTGGCACTAAATCTTAGTCCCTCAATCTAACTGAAATTATTTTGGTCAACATCTTTCTCCAACTCCACTGCCTCTTGGTAAGCAGTCATCTTTCTGCCCTCTGCTTCTATGAAGCATTTTATTTTACTTTTATAGATTCCATACAGAAATGAGGTCTTTAGTTGGATTCTGGTTCATTCAGAAGAGGCGTCTGGGTATGTATGCCAGAACTGAGGCTTGAATTCAGGGCCTTGTGTTCTTACTTGGCCTCTAGCCTCAGGGTAGTGCTCTGCCACTTGAGCCATACCAACACTTCCCAGAAGAGGATCTGAGGCTTCTGATCAAACTTCAAATAGAATAAATATGGAAGAAAACCACAGTGCTTAGAACGTAAAAAAAATAAGCTGGACACTGATAGCTTGTAATCCTAGCTACTCAGGTGGTGGCTGAGATCTGAGGATCATGGTTCAAAGCCAGCCTGGGAAGAAAAAGTCTGTGAGACTCTTATCTCCTATAAACTATGACAAAACAGCCTGAAGTGAAGCAGCAGCTCAAGTAGTAGAGCACTAGCCTTGAACAAAAGAAGCTCAGGGAGAGCATCACAACCACAACAAAAAACATAAAACAAAACAAAATAAGAAACACACAGAGGAGTGAATCCTGAATGATGGGCATCCCTCCCTCATCGCATGCAAACTACTCCAGCAAGTGGTTCACAGGCATTAACCATTCTGGGTGGGCTTCAAAAAGTAAACAGTGGAAAACAAGACCACTAAATTCTACCTTTGGGAAGCATAGTTGTAATGATCTGATTATTTTTGGAGGCCTGGAATATTTTCTTCTGTAATCCTGAGGTTGAATTCAAGTCTCATGTCTGTTAGATGGGGACTTGACCACTGAGCATGCGTCTAGCTCATTTTCACACTAGTTATTTTGAGACTGGATCTCACTTTTTGCCAGGAGCACAATCTTATTTTTATGATTTCTACCATAGTATGGATGACAGGTGTATGCTACCATACTTAGCTTCTTCTACTGAGATGGAGTCTTGTGAAGTTTTTACCCCTGGGCTGGCCTAGAACTGTGATTCTTCCAATCTTGGCCTCCCAAGGTGCTAGGATTACCGGCATGAACTACTGTGTCCATTTTAGTCTGAAATATTTTCAAAATAAATCTCTTTAGCTATTTATTGGTACCATTAAAAAAATAAATCTTAAGCATGGTGCTGGTAGCTCAAGTCTATAATTCTAGTTACTCAGGAGGCTGAGATCTGAGGATTATGGTTCGAAGCCAGCCTGGGTAGCAAAATCTTCAAGACTCTTACTTCTCATTTACCAGCAAAATGTTGGAACTACAAGCATGGCTCAAGTGTTTGAGTGCCATCCTTGAGTGAAAAAGCAAAGCAAGTGTGTAAAGCCCCGAGTTCAAGCCCCAGTACAAGAAATGAACAAATAGAAACTTAAGGAATAAAAACTAAAGAAGGCTGAAGTTCAAATACTACAAATAGCAATGCATTAGTTGTGAAATGTAGGGAAAATGTTGACTCTCTGTACCGTTTTACCACATGAAATGTTTGGCAGATTAAATAAGCTAATCTCAGCGAATGTGTTTGGTGAACAGCCATGGAAAATCCTAGACAATTGTCATCTTAGAGAATTTCAGCTGCATGATTACCAGTAATTGGTTCTCCTGTGACATACACTGAATGAAACAAACCCCAGAAATTGCATAATGAAGCACCTCATATCAGCTGCTGCTCTACAGTTGTCTTAATCTGTACCTACCTCATCCACGGGTGGATACAGGGCGAAGAGCTCTGCCTGCCGATTGGTCCTTCGGGCCTCCTCGTTCTGCTTCTCGAAGTCCTCGGCGCTCACCACCTGCAGCAGGTTTTCAAGGCGCTGGTCGGGCTGCAGGCTGCGGAGGTCGAAGCCGCAGGCAGTGAGGGGACCTTTCCCAGACACATCGCACAGCGCTTTTAAGCGGCAGGGGTCTCTCTGCAGGACAAGACAAGGAGACTTGGTGAGAAAGAGAGAGGGGGTCTGGATGCTATGATTCCAAGATGTCTCAACTTGGGGGCTACGGAATCTCAGGCCTTAAGGAGCTTTCGGGACAAACCAGAGATTTGATGCGATGTCTTAATTTCCTGGCTGGCCTTGTCCTACAATCTGCTCAAGTCTCTTTCCCACCTCAAAGCAGGAAGTTACTTGTGGGGTGAACTGGTGGGCTGGAGTAGGGAGTAGAGGCTTGGTGCTCATAGATCGGTATTCCTTTATCCTAGGAGCTCTGAGTCCACACTTCATGGGACTACACCACCCCCGGGGCAGTGTCCTCTGCTCAGAGATTGAAGTTCTTGACCTGTAGGCTCCTCTTTGGAGTGTCTAGCTTTTCCCTAGACCCACAATCCTCAAAGGTTCATCAGCTTCAGTGTCATGTGGGAAATGCTATTCAGAAACTCAGTTGAGTAGCCTGTGTTTGAACAGCCTTCCAGAGGAGCCACTGCCTCGGGTCCCAGCCACACACAGGTATTGCTGTTTCTTGCAGTGATGACTTTGGTTAAAAAAAAAAAAAAAACCCTCCTTCATTTCAGTTCTCTCTGTCCTCCAAACCCCACTGCATCCATTTCCAATGTTGACTTCCTTCTGCTGAAATACCTATCATGGCTCTGCTTGACTAACACAAGGCACAATTTACTTGTCCATCCTATCAGGTGAAAATTGAATTTAGTAAAAAAAGAAATTGCCACTGAAAAAAGCCAGTGTCTCTCCCAGGGAGCCTTACACTCATTCAGCATCAGAATGGATGGCGGGTTCCTCTGTGAGGCTCATCTGAGGTAGTTGGCCTGGCTTTAGAGACCATGTTATTTGAACAACAGGTATTATTTTAAGATCTCTAATCAAATCAGTAGGGCGAGGTGCCTGTGTTAGGAAGACCCGCGAAAGGTGAAAATTCTAGTAGTTTAGAAGAAGTCATGCCAATTTGGATAGATTTCTTCTCTGTTTATCTCATCTAAAAAATACTGATGTGTAAAAAAAAAATTAATTGTGGTACTATGTGCCTAACAAAGTTTATTCTTAGCTGCTTTTCAGTAGGGTTAATATATCACATTGTTGTGAAACCATCTCGATTATCCATCTCCCACAATTCTTTTTGTCTTGTAAAACTGAAACCCTTCATCCATCACACAATAATCCCATTCTGCCTTGAGCTCCTGCTAACTGGGTTTTCTTGCTCATCCGTTAATCCAATCATAGCCAACTGGGTCTCTGGTCTACTTTCTGGGTGCTATAAGTAATGTTGCTGTGAACATGGGTGTATATAGCATTGATTTAAAAATAATAATCACTTTATAATAGTATAATCATAGTAATAACAGTAGCCACCATTTACCGGGCACGAATTCTCATTTAGCATTGTTCTCAATCTTTCCACATGTGAACTCAATACTCCAATAACCTCATGAGCTAGTAGTGTTATCCTGGTTTTCCAGGTGAGGAAATGGGAGCCAGGAGGCTGAAGACCAGAGGATAGTTCAATAATCCTGCCTGAGGACACAGGGTAGGTGGGAAATGAATAAGGGAATCCCAGGCACACTGACTCCAGTGTGAAGCTTTCAGTCACACAGCAGTCTGCTTTAGGGGTGCCACGAGTCTACAGGAATTGTGTGAGGGATGGTTCCAAGTGTTTTAGGAGGGGTTCCCCAGGTAGAACCCCTCTACTTTGATCTGGATTTTCATTTGAATACCATTTCATTTGAATGCCATTCTATATTTAAAAAATATATATGTATCATTGACTCAGATGGTAGAGGGCCTCCGACTTGGATATTGTGAGTCTTTTATTCTAGTATTCTTTTTTTTTTTTTTTTAAATTGACAGCTTGCACTAGGAAAAGCAGCTAGTAACCTGGCAACCACATTTGTTGATAGGAAATACCTGATCAGCCGGTTCACTGCTCTCCAAGGTTTCTGACTCAAACGTCTGTTTCTGAAGCGTCTTATGAAAATCTTTTCGAGATCCACTCTTTTGAAAGCCACGAATCTCTGAATTTCCTTGGTTTCTTTTTTTTATTATTATTATTGTAGAGAGAAAAAGAAGGGGGAAAGAGAAAGAGGCAAAACCATTAGATTAAAAATAAAAGTAGAGACCTAAGTGCAGAGAGCAGAAAGGGCTTTCAAAGAGAGGACCAATTGGAGTTTCTCACATCTAATTATGCACCCGGCCTTAATACAAGGCTCTGTTGTAATGAGATACAAACTTGCCCCCTGGCTGGCTCATTATTAAAGGCAGGAATGGCCTGGGAAAATGCCACAGCCACTGGCAGAGGTGCAGTCACTTCAGCTGGCGCTTGGCTCTGAGCTGAAAGCTAAACTATGACCCCACTGTAAGAGGCTTGAATGAACCCAGCAATGTGTACACGCAGCAAACAGAGACCGCTTCAAGATAAAAATAGGGAAAACCATGTCCTTTTCACATCAGCGTTCTCCATACTGAACAAAAATAATCAAAAGACAGAACAAGGTTAAGAAAAAGAAATGATTTGTTTGTTGTGATTCCTTCTTAGCATTCATAACCTCCACTTCGTGAACTTCATTAAAATTGGATTTTTAGTAATGTATACCTTTGTGAAGGATTGAAAATAGAACGATTGTCACTATGATGAAGAGACCACCATAACAAAAACAACACATACAAGTTGTCATCATTAAAGAAACCCACTCCTGTGTATTCCTCATTTTTTAAAATCTATTTTTGGGAAACATGCCACCAAGTACACACACACACACCAATTTGTGTGGTTTCTGCACTATTAGATCAACCATCGAGCCACTCAGTAAATGAATGTGCAGAGGTTAGAATTTATTAAGCAGATCAAATGGCAAACAGATAAAGCAGGAAATGGAGGAGAACGATTAGCAGTGATCCAAAGGCAGAGTTCATAATTCTTCAGGAGAAGAAAGGAGGGGAGAGAGTAACCAGCAGGCAGAATACAAGTTTAATTCTCTGTATTAGTTACAGGAAGAAGATGCTGTCCTCGAGACTTCAGCTGGGAGAAGGCAAGAAACAGTCCAGGAGAGAGGCCAGATGGGTTTGGGGGAGTATGCCAAGTCAGGATTCCTGCAAGTGGTCATCTTCCTTGTCCCCACCCCCACGCCTCCCACATGGACTGCCTCATCTTGTATTGATAAGGATAAAAATTTAGCAAGTGAAGCCGGGCGCTGGTGGCTCACGCCTGTAATCCTAGCTACTCAGGAGGCTGAGATCTGAAGATCGCGGTTCAAAGCCAGCCCGGGCAGGAGAGACCGTGAGACTCCTATCTCCAATAAACCACCAGAAAACCGGAAGTGGCGCTGTAGCTCAAGTGGTAGAGCGCTCGCTTTGAGCTAAAGAACTGAGGGACAGCGCCCAGGCCCAGAGTTCAAGCCCCACGACCGACCAAAAAAAAAACAGTTAAAAAAATTTAGCAAGTGAAAAAAAAAGTGAACCAATTTGATTATTCTCTGAATGAAGAAATAAGACTGAACATCTATGAAAAAAAAACACCTAGAAAATTTCCCAAATAATTTCTGGTTCAGTATTCCTAAACCCCAGTAACATAAAACAGAGATTAAAATTTTATTCATTACGTTTCAAAAACATACATGGAAAAAGTGACTTTGGAGAGTCTTTCAAACAATTCCCTGGAAGTAACAGCAAATTAGTAAATCATGTTGGTTCCATTGCTCTAAATATGTGAATGGGTGCAGTGCTAAAAAAAGAAAAAGAAGAAGTAGATGAACATGTAAGAAGTATTTATTTTATAAAATTTATTTTCTCCTGATAGAGTTCTTTGAGAGAAAGCCTACCCGGGGATTTTATAAATCAGTGTGCGCGTGTGCGCGCGCGCGTGCGTGCGTGCGTGTGTGCGTGCGTGTGTGCGTGTGTGTGTGTGTGTGTGTGTGTGTGTGTGTGTGTGTGTGTGTATCCTTTGTTAATGAGGAAACTGCTGTTTCTGGGCTGACCCCAAGGGCTCAAAAGAAAGACTCTGAGTGTGATCTAGTATCTTGGGAGGAAGAGGGTGGTAAGGAAATAATCTAGCTCAGAAAAATGGAAAACATAGGCTAATAAGAAATTTTATTCTTAAAATTACCTTATCCCGAGTGACAACATACTGGATCATTGAGTTACTTATTTATCTATCTATTTATTTATTTAATGCCAGTTCTGGGGCTTGAACTCAGGGCCTAGGTGCTGTCCCTGAGCTATTTCCTTAAGGCTAGTGCTCTACCATTTGAGCCACAGCTCCACTTCTGGTTTTCTGGTGGTCAACTGGAGATAAGAATCTCATAGACTTTACTGCTCTAGTTGGCTTTGAACTGTGATCCTCAGATCTCAGCCACTTCAGTAGCTAGTACTGGCACCAAGCTTATTAATTACTTTTTCTGAGAAATCTAATCTGAAGTGGAAAAATGGCTCAATAAAAAACTAGCATTGGGTTGGGAAGGTGGCTCAGTGGTAGAGCGCTTGCCTTGCATGCATGAGGCCCTGGGTTCGATTCCTCAGCACCACATAAGCAAAAAGGAAAAAGTCGGAAGTGGTGCTGTGGCTCAAGCGGTAGAGCGCTAGCCTTGAGCTGAAGAGCTGAGGGACAGCGCCCAGGCCCAGAGTTCAGGCCCCACGACTGAACCCCCCCAAAAAAACAAAAACAAAACTAGCATTAAGATGTCCAAAGACATCTTAATGTCTAAAGACATCTAAAAATAAAACTTGAATTTCCCACTGTTTCTTTGCCTTTTTATTTTTAGGTCATGTCCATGCCAAGGGGTACGGACTTGAAACACTTGTGATGGTAGGCTTCTTTACAAGGAAACCTCCCTGGACCACAGAAATAAAGTTCAAGGAGGGCTGGGCTAAAGAACTTTCATCCCTTGTTATCCTAGTTACTTTGAGAGGATCACAGCACTGGCAATAAACAAACAAACAAACAAATAAATAAATAATAAAAATAATCTCAAAACCCTCAGCTCAACAGAAAAATCTAGATGTATTGGTACGTGCCTGTGATCCCACCAACTACTTCAAGCATCATAAAAACAGGAGGATTACAGTTCAGGCCAGCCTAGGCAAAAGTGAACTTCTATCTCAAAAATAACCAGAGCCACAAGGAATCTTGGCTCAAGTGGTAGAGTGCCTGTCTAACAAGCATGGAGCTCTGAGTTCAATGCTGCCCCTCCCCCAACTTACAAAACAAACAAACAAACGTGTGTGTCAGCCTATTCTCAATCATCTAGGGATAACCCAATGAGAAAGCACAGCTTGTGAGCATTCTCTTCAGAGGTCCAATGGTACAGCAGAAAGACTCTGTTCAGATGCAATACAGACTAGCCAAAAAGACAGGACCTGGACAATGGTCTATTCTCTCTGGGGCATAGTTTCTTCAGGTAGAAAACAAAAGAGAATCTGGTGTCTATTTTCAAAGTCTGTTGTGAGGATTAGAACATAATGTACATTCCCCTTCTGTTTCTTTTTCCTTTCCTTTCCCCATGGCCTCTCTCCCTTTCCTTCTTTCTCCTTTCTGGACAGCCTGGTGGTAAAATCATAAGATACAATCAAGAGAATAAGGTAGCCACCAATATGTTAGATGAGGAGGCTGAGAAGTACATAGTGGGAAGTTGATGTCAAATAGAATAAAAGAGACAAGCATCTTATATGTAACTCACTGATTCAGAAAAAAAAACAGTTAAAGTTTGACAAGAAATGGGGCTACTTATAATAATTAAACCTAAAAGAAGGATCCTCTATGACTGGTCTATAACTTCAAGGTCATGAAAGAAAATACATGGCAAACAACTATTCCAGCATGAATAAGACTAAAGATATGAGACATATAGATGCAATGGATTTTTATTGTTGCGGTTGGTGGTAGTGGGCTTGAACTCTGGGCCTGGGCTGTCCCTAAGCTCTTCAGCTCAAGGCAAGTGCTCTACCACTTCAGCCATAGCACCACTTCCAGTTTTCTGGTGGTAAATTGGAGATAAGAGTTTCACGGACTTTTCCTGCCTGGGCTGGCTTTGAACCATGATCCTCAGATCTCAGCCTCCTGAGTAGCTAGGATTATAAGCATGAGCCACCAGCACCTGGCTGCAATGGATGGTTTTGAAGTGAACCTTTTGTTCTCAGACATTCTTAGCTGGTTGCCAGTGTCTCATGCCTGTGATCTTAGTTACTCAGGAGACTAAGATCTGAAGATCATGGTTCTAACCCAACCCAGGCAGGAAAGATCATGAAACTCTGATCTTAAATTTACCACCAAAAAGCCAGAAGTGGAACTATGGCCCAAGTACCTCAAGGCACTGCCTTGGGCAAATTAGCTCAGGAATAGCATCCAACCCCTGACTTCAAGAATTAGGATCATGGGCTGGGAAGGTGGTTCAGTGCTTGCCTTGCATGCATGAGGCCCTGGGTTCGATTCCTCAGCACCACATAAGCAGAAAAAAAAAGAATTAGACCACACAAAATATAAATGAATAACTAAATAAATAAATGATATTCTTAGGAAATTTGTCAAAGTAGAATAGAGTCTAAGGACTATATGGTAATAAGATATTAATGTTAATTTTCAGAACATAGTGGTTGGGAAAATGATCATGCCCTTGTTTGTAGGAATTTCAGATGGTGGAGGCTAGGGAGTTTTTGCACAAGCCAAAATTGTCTGAATGACCTCAAATCTCTAACTCTGTGATAGTTTAAAAATAGGAAAATAGCTGGGCACCGGTGGCTCATGCCTGTAATCCTAGCTACTGAAGAGGCTGAGATCTGAGGATCATGGCTCAAAGCCAGCCTGGAGAAGGAAAGTCCATGAGACTTGTATCTCCAATTAACTACTTGAAAACTGGAATTGGACCTGGGGCTCACAGTGGTAGAGGGCTAGCCTTGAGCAAAAGAGCTCAGGGACAGCACCTAGGTCGTGAGTTCAAGCCCATGACCCATGGTGAAGGCTGTTAGTTTTTCATTGAGGCCCCCTTTACTGACCTATTGCTTTCAGATTCAGAGATACACAAGTAATTTATTCTCCTTCCC